CAGGCTGGCCTTGAAATCAATAAGATCCCATTGGATTTAGGGCTTTTAAACCAGTGTTGTGACTCTGAAAGACTACAGGGATTTTTGAAGTTGGACTGAATGCATTTTACATTTTGATATGGCTACAGGCATATGGGGGTCAGGGAGTGGAGTGTGGTGGTTTTTTTGTTTTTTTGTTTTTTTGTTTTTTTATTGTTGTCTTTGTTTTAGAGACAGGGTTTCTCTGTTGTCCTGGCTGGATCCACCTGCCTCTGCAAATGTGGTGTTTGAATGAGAATGGCCTTCATAGGCTCATATGTTTCAATACTTTGTCCCCAGTTTGTGGAACTGGTTTGGGAAGGATTAGGAGGTGTGGCCTCTTGAAAGAGATGTGTCTTGGGAGGGGGGCTTGAGGCTTCAGCATACTCAGGTCATCCCAAGTTAGCTTTCTGCCTCCTGTTTGTGATTTGAGATTTGAGCTCTCAATTGTCCCTGGCACAATGCTTTCACTCTACCATCATGGACTCTGACCCTCTGGAACCATAAACCCAATCAAACACTTTAATAAGTTGCCTTGCTTAATTGTTTCTTTTCTTTCTTTTATTTTTTTGATGGTTTATACAATATATTTTGATCATATACTTCCTTACCTAATTATGTTGTTTTATCACAAAAGTAGAAAAGTAACTAAGACAACTATGGATGCAGTGTTACCAACTGCCTCGATACAGCATTGTGACCGGTGGTTGTATCTTCAGACTGTGAGACAGAACAGATAACTTCCCATTACAGCATCGTGACCAGCGGTTGTGTCTTCACACTGCAAGACAGAACAGATACTTCCTGAAGTTGGTTTGCAAGGCATTTTGTCACAGTAGCCACAGAAGTAACTAATCCAGAAAAATGATGCACTGAAATGGACCGTTGCTCTGATAAAACTGAACATGTAGTTCTTAGGCTTTTGGAACTGATTTGTGGAAGGGATGTGGCAGTTTGGAACTTTGAGCTAGAAAGAACCATAAATACTAAAAGCAGAGGTTCATGGGTCATTTTGGTGGGATTTTGGAGACCAGAAAGTTGAAAGAAATGTACAGTGTGGAAGCTCAACACGAGCTTCTATCAAGAATGACGTTAGAGGTCATTCATGTGATAGTCTGGCATAAAAAAAAAAAAATCTAGATTCATTTTGCCCATGTCCTGAGGGCTTGGTGGAGGAAATCCAAGGACAGGGTAGCACTCATGGCTACTGCTCACTGCTCTGCTTTCATTTGACGCCAGCAGTTAGACAGCAAGAAATGGAGCAGAAATATGGAAAACAAGCAGTTTGACAAAGAAAATAGTGTGTTTAGCATTACAGACAAGGCTAGTTCAAAAAGAATGTTCATTGTTTTGTTTGAGGCAAAGTCTCACATTAGCCAAATTGACCATGAACTCACTTTGCAACCATGGTTGGCCTCCAACCATCCTGTGTGAAGCCAGGTTAGCTGATCTGCAGGCTTCTGAGGATTCTCCTGTCTGTGTCTCCCTCCCCTTTTCTTTGGGGGCACACTGAGATTATAGATGCTTTTGCTTGACACAAACCCTGGAGACCTGCATTCAACTCTCAGAACACACGGATTTGTTTTTCTTGTTTTGTTTTGTTTTGTTTTGTGCTTTATGTTTTTGTTTTTGAAACAGCGTCTCCCTATGTAGCCTTGGCTGTCCTGGGACTCACTCTGTAGACCAGGCTGGCCTTGAACTCACAGAGATCTACTTTCAACTCCTGAATGCTGTGACTAAAGGCACTGCACACATGTGGTGAACAGACAGACATACAGTCAAAACACCTGCACACATTTAAAAATTAATCTTTTTCAAAAAAAATCTAATCTACTTTTTTGTTCCATATTCTTACCAGTCATCTCACTCTTTGGTTATCCTTTCCTGATGGGAGCTTAGACAATGGATGGCCAAAAACTAAACTTTTTTATTTTACTTATTAGGAGGGGTGTGCCACCACATGAATGTAGCAATCAAGGACAGCTGGTAAGAGGAGTTGGTTCTTCCCTTCTACCATGTGGGTTCCAGGGGTCAAATTCAAGTCTTCATGTTTGGTGGCAATTGTCTTAATGTGCTGATCCAACTTGCTAGTTAAAAATGTCAGCTAAAGTCCTTGGTGTTGGTGTATAAGGACTTGAAACTGTCCCTAGGGCCCTAAGTCTTTCCTCTCCTAGCTGTGCCATCTGCTGGGATGGGCCAGGTTCTTACTGATGTCCCTTGGACGCACTGAAGATGCTTTCCTGTGCTGATCCTCCTCTTTGTACATTTGTACAATGTAGACTAGTTACAATCCAACCTCCGGGGTCTCCGTGGCCTCTGAGTGAGAGGACAGTGACTCAACAGAACTACAGGACACTTAAAGGTGTCCCTTATTCACTGGTCCCCTGATCCCTAACCTTAGGGCAAGGGCCAAGATACCAGTAGTCCTTTTATCTCCTCTATCTCCATTGTCTTTGGCCTTCAGGTTTGTAAGGTCAGTTATACCAGTCTGGAAGAAAAGCTCAGACTGAGGAGCATCAGTTTGCTTTTTTTTTTTTTTTTTTTAAAGGAGTCTCTCTGTGTAGCTCTGACTGACCTGGAACTCTCTTTGTAGACCAGGCTGGACTTGAACTCACCCATATCCACCTACCTCTGTCTTCTAAGAGCTAGGATTAAAAGTGTGTGCCATCATGCCAGCTGCTAGCTCTTTGCCTCTTAGAAAATAGATATATCTGGGGATGAAAGTTAAATTGCCAATTATTGGTGAGGTTTTTTTGTTTGTTTGTTTGGGGGGGGTGTTTCCAGACAGGGTTTCTCTGAGTAGCTTTGCAGCCTATCCTGGCACTCGATTTGTAGACCAGGCTGGCCTCAGATTCACAAAGATCCTCTGTCTCTGCCTCCCAAGTGCTGGCATGCCCCACCATCACCACAAAACTTTTTTTTTCTTTTTAAGGGGGGAGATTTAATTTATTTCAATTATGGAAAGTATATCTCAGAGGAAATAAATATGAATCCAAAGGGAATATGGATTGGGAACCTGGAGTACTACTTTAGTTGGCAGGGCTTAGGTTTCCTGATCCTTGCAAACTAGGACCCACAAACAGCCTGGAAATCAGCAGCATCATGTACCTTTCAGTCCCAATTACTTTGGTTGGTTAGATGGAGACACAAAATCTTACTGGGAATTGGAGTATTGCATCCCTCCAGTCCAGGAAACATTTTTGACAGGGACCATTTCCGAACCAGCAAAGGTCAGCACTCAATAGTTGCCTTGCCAAGGACCATGCATGTGGGGACCATCCTGACCCATGATTTCCTCAGAGGCCCTGATAAGGGACAAAAGGAACTTTAGTTCTGTGTCCTCATCCAAGAATGGACTTGGAAAAGCCGATCTGACCCTGGAGCTAGTGTCTTGTACAGTCAAGGTTGTGACTTCTGGGGACCTTAATCTTCGCCCTAGGCTGTGGTTATCAGCCCTTAGGCAGCTGTGTCTGATATACCCTGTTTTATCTTTGCCAACATTGCCTGACTCAGCTCTCTGCTGACCTTGGCCATCTTCCCCCTGCAAATAGTATATATGATGCTGTACTTAATAAACTTGCTTGGTATACGTCATCAGCTATGAAAGACCTTCTGGTCCCAGCTTTTGTCTTATTTCTCATCATTTCTATTTTTCATCCCCAATTCCCCCACTCAACACTTCATTTGAGGCCTTATTCCTGCTGTTTGTGGTGCATGCCTTAACTTTTTTATATATTTAATATTGTAAATGGATGATTGTCTTCGGATATGGCATAAATTTTTTTTCCTATAAGAATCTGGAGTGGAGCTAGGCATGAGGGCATACATCTTTTAGCACAGAACTTAGGAGGCATAGGCAGATATCTGTGAGTTTGGGGCTAGCCTACTCTACATAGCAAGTTCTAGGCCAGCCAGAGCTACATAGAGAGAAACCCTATCTCAAACAAACAAACAAACACGGAAGAAAGAATGAATCTAGAGTAGGGGCTGAAGAGTAGGGGCTCTATGGTTAAGAACACTTGCTGCTTTTCCTAGGGACTAGGATTCAGTTCACAGCACCCATACTGGGTAGCTCACAACCATCTGTAACTCTAGCTCCAGGGAATCAACCTGCCACAAATTAGAATCACTTGAGTAGGGAACCTTAACTGAAGAATTGTCCTTATTACCTTAATAGATGTGGGAAGTCCCACCCAACAAGTGGGTGGCACCTTTAAGTAGCAGCTCAGATTTAAAACGGTAACAGCAAGAGGAAGATTATTAAACTTTATGTAGCTTGGCCTTTTCTCCTTCCTGGAGTTGATTTCTCCAGCTGCTGCTGATTCCTTCACAGACATCAGAACCAGCACCTCCAGGCTGCCATCACTGACTAAGACCAGCAGCTCACCAAAAACCCTCCAAGGTTTTGGTGTCAGACTGGGATAGCCAAGGCACTCAGCCTCAAGGCGTGAGTAACTACTGGGTTTGCAGCCTCTCAGGTGTGAAGCAGCTGATGATACTATTTCAATGTAAACTGGCTTAATAAATTCCTTAAACATATGTCTCCACCACATTGGTTCTGTTCCTCTTGAGAACACTAATATACATGATACACAGCCCCAAGTACCTTGTGAAATGATTTACATTCAGTAGGTGCCTATTAGAAACATGTCAACTGGGCTGGAGAGATGGTTCAGAAGTTAAGAGCTCTTCCAGAGGTCCTGAGTTCAATTCCCAGCAAGCACATGGTGGTTCTCAACCATCTATAATGAGATTTGGTGTACATGCCAGAACACTGTATATATAATAAATCTTTAAAAAAAAGTGTAGACTAACCATATGTAGAATATACATGTTTAGGAGCTAGGAATGTGTTACTCAGTGGCATGGCATATGTTTAGCAAGCAGAAGGCATTAGGTTCAATTCCTGGGTACACATACAGAATATAATGGCCAGATTTCACCAAAAGCCTATGAAAGGAGAGAAAAGAGCATACACAGTATCTTTGTTCCACAGTTCATTTATGGAATTGGGGCAGGTGATTTAAAAACATATTGCAACATAAGGCTGGGAGAGAACCATTGTTGCTTTCCTTCCCAGGTTCCAGTTGTGATAGGGATGCTTGCAAGTTTTCTAAAATAGCCATCTGTTGTTGGGCAAGCTGGGTCTGAAGCTGGAGGTTGGCATACATACATTCTAGGAGTCCTAGGCATTCCTTGGGCTTCTGGCCAGCTCCTGAAGGAAGAGAGATGGAGGTGCAAAGGGACAAAGGAAAGAGGCTTTGTCATTGCAGTAAGGTTGGAAGGACTCCATAAGAGCACTAATCCTCCCAGGTACAACCCAAACCAGATGCACTTCTGCTCAGAGGTCACCTTCCCAGAAGCTTACGTGACAATTTTGTTTTAATTTGAAACAAATAATGGCAACTCACCCCCTCCCATTTTTTACTTTTCTTATAATACTTACGGTCATCTGGCAAACTCAGTAATAGATCATGTTTGTCTAAGTTCCCTGCTTGAGTGTATACTTCAGGAAGGCAGGGACTTTTGTCTGGTCTACTTTAGTAACCCCAGCATCTAGAGAAGCCACTGTACATAAGTATTCAAAACACATTTAAATGGGGGGGGCGGTGCAGGCCTTTAATTCCAGCACTCAGGAGACAGAGGCAGGCCTCTATGAGAGGCCAGCCTAGTCTACAGAATGAGTTCCAGTACAGCTAAGGCTACAGAAATAAACCCTGTTAAAAAAAAAAAAAAAAAAAAAAAAAAAAAAAAAAGCTGGGTATAATAGCACATGCCTCCCAGCATTCGGAGACAGAGGCAGGTGGATATTTATGAATTCAAGGCCAGCCTGATCCACTCAGTGAAGTTCCAGAACAGGCAGAGGTGCATAGAAAGATCCAGTATTAAAAAGAAAACAACAGGGGCTGGAAAGATGGCACAATGATTTAGAGCACTGGCTGCTCTTCCAGGGGTCCTGAGTTCAATTTCCAGAAATCACATAATGGCTCACAACCATCTGTAATGAGATCAGGTGCCCTCTTCTGGCCTGCAGGCATACATACAGGCAGAACACTGTATGCATGATAAATAAATCTACAGAGTTCTAGGACAGGCTTCAAAGCTACAGAGAAACCCTGCCTCAGAAAAACAAAACAAAACAACAAACTTTGGGGGCTGGAAAGATTATTCAATAGATAAAAGCACTGGCTGCTCTTGCAGAGGACCATTGTTCAGCCCCTAGAACTCACAAGGTGGCTAACAATTGCCTGCAATTCCACTTGCAAGGATCTGGTGCCCTCCTCTGGCCTCCACAGGCATTACATGCAAGACATGCATATAGGCAAAACACTCATACATATAAAATACATTTTTAAAGCTATTACAAAAAAAGGGGCTGGAGGGATGGCTCAGAGGTTATGAACATTGGCTGCTCCTCCAGAGATCCTGAGTTCAAACTCCAGCAACCACATGGTGACTTACAACCACCTATAATGAGATCTGGTGCCCTCTTCTGGTGTGTAGGCATACATGCAGGCAGAACACTACATAATAAAAAAATAAAAAAATAAACCCGGCGTTGGTGGCACACGCCTTTAATCCCAGCACTCGTGAGGCAGAGGCAGGCGTATATCTGTGAGTTCGAGGCCAGCCTGGTCTCCAGAGCGAGTGCCAGGATAGGCACCAAGGCTACACAGAGAAACCCTGTCTCGAAAAAAACAAAAAACAAAAAAAAAAAAAAAAAGAGAGAGAGAGAGAGACTGATTAAGCCACATGGTGATGACACATGCCTTTAGTCCCAGAACTCAGGAAGGCAGAGGCAGGTGGATCTTTGTGAGTTCAAGGCCACCTGGTCTACAGAGTGAGAACCAGGACAGCCAGGGTTGTTACATAGAGAAACCCTATTTCGAAAAACAAACTAGATAAAAATTAAAGATGTCTGTTTGTGGATTTTTTTTTTTTTTTGGATTTATTTATTTTATGGGCATGGGTGTTCTGCCTTCATGTATGTCTGTATGCCATGTGAATGCATCGTCCATGGAGGCTAAAAGAAGGTGTTAGATTTGGAACCAGAGTTATGCAATGGTTGTTAGCTGCCATGTAGGGTCTTCTCAAACAGTAGCCAGTGCTTTCAGCCACTGAGGTACCTCTCTTGCTCTGAGGATGGCCTTCTTGAGCCTACTCTCTCCACCTTCCAAGGGCTGGCCTAACAGGTGTGGATTACATCTGGTTCCCAGGCTCTTTTAAAAATGGGTTTTGTTGTTGCTGTTCCTGTTTTTAACTACTTGGTTTTGTTTTGTCTTTTTTTCATTTTGTGTGATGAGTGTTTTGCCTGCATTTATGTCTGTATACCATGTCAATAAATGATGCCCAAGGAGGTCAGAAGAGGGCTTTGCATTTTCTGATGGGTGTAAGCAACTCTGAAACTGCTGGAAACCAAACCCAGGTCCACTGCAAGAACAGTAAGTGCTCTTTTCTTTTCTTGTCTGGTTTTTGTTTGTTTGTTTGTTTGTTGTTTTTCAAGACAAGGTTTCTCTGTGGCTTTGGAAGCTGTCCTGGAACTAGCTCTTGTAGACCAGGCTGGCCATGAACTCAGAGATCTGCTTGCCTCTGCCTCCTGAGTGCTGTGATTAAAGGTGAGCACCACCACTGTCGGGGACTTGTTTTGTTTTTAAGACAGGGTCTTACTGGATAGCCTTGGCTGGCCTGGAACTCAATATGTAGACCAGGCTAACCTTGAACTTTCAGACATCCACTTTAATCTTTGAAAATCTGATTAGAGTCAGGCACAGTGGGTACATCAGGAATCCTAGTGCTTAGGACAATGAGTCAGGAGGTAAGTGTGAGGCTACACAGTGAGTTCCAGGCTACGGAAGAACTCAGAACAACAACAAAATAAGAAAAAAACTGTTGGGAGACAGAGGCAGGGGGATCTCTGTTAGTCGAGGTCAGTCTGGTTTACAAAGTGAGTTCCAGAACAGCCAGAGCTATTACAAGAGAAACCGGATCTCGAAAAACCAAACAAAAACAAAAACAAAAACAAAAACGTGAGGCAATGGTCTCATATAGCCCATATTGGCTTTAAGCACTCCATGTAGCTGAGGATAAACTTGAACTCCTAACCCTCCCACCTCTGAATTCCAAGTGCTGGGATTACAGATATATGCCACTGTACATAGTATGTGTGATTCTGGGCCTTGCGCACACCAGGTAAGAACTCTACCAGTTGAACTATATTCACAGCCTGAAAAAGGTTTTTGTTGTTGTTTGTTCTGTTTTGTGTTTGCTTTTTGTTTTTTGGGTTTTTTTGTTTTTGTTTTTGTTTTTTTGCTGAGTGGGTAAAACCTAAGTCCTTTTTAGGGACCTGAAGCTCCTTTATTGTCTAACTCCAGCCATTTTTGGTGATCAGCTTACTTTTTAAATGTTTTCAACTACACTGTCCATAGGCAGCTTATTTAACCTCAATAGTTATACTGTCTTGTGTTTGGGGCTATGGCTACGTAGCAATGAGTTCCCCATTAGTATTCAACTATCGACTGACTTCCCTAGGAGAAGGTGAGTGAGAGAAATTCAAAGAAGCAGAGTCCAAGCTAAAGTTACCATCTCCTTCCCTGGGTCCCTTTTAACCATCAGGAGCAGCCAGCAGAAAGACTGTGGTCTCAGCCTGCCTAGTTGAGTAGCTAATAAGTGAGGACACTAGAGAAGAAAAACGAAACCAACAGAACTAAATACTCAACAAGTTACCCTGAAAGTGAAAACAGGCAACAGGGTGCTTTGATGAGGAGTCAGCACTGACCCAGGGGAAGCTTAAGCTACTTTGCTCCTGTTCTCCTGGCTAGGCCTGCTTGGGAAGCCCTTCTCCCCAAGCCTTCCTTACCTGAAGGTATCTTTGTTGTCTGGATATTCAATAAAGTGGCTGATGGGGAATTTGCTTGAAGATTGATATAACTGGGGGAGGGTTTTGCTGGACAAAGACACACAGCATTATCTTCTTCTTTGGCTGAAAAATCAGGTGACTAAATCAAAACTCATTCTAACAAGGGTTAGCCCTGCCTTCCTCTGTCCCCTTTCTCTTTTAATTGTCAGACAATAACCCAGGCTGGCCTTGAACCCAAGACCCTCTTGCCTTGGCCTCAAAAATGTGGGACTGCAAGTGTAAGACTGCCTTTCTGACTAAATCACTGTACCTGGTCTACAAAGCAGACAGCAGGTCCTACCCAAGTATCAGGAAGATATACAAAGAGAAGACACAGACACCAGAAACCAGTGAGAGTTACATGCAGCCAGGCATGGCAGAAGTAAAGTCCAATTTACTTGCTTACCACTCTACCAGACAATGAGAAACACACCAAAAACATGTACAACATCGTTTCTTAGCTGCTCATTATCAACTTAGGGAGACAGGTACAAGCAAAACCAGCAGCAAGAGAGGAGGAAGACACATAACTATATGAACAAATGCCAACAGTCAGGAGCCCCAGTTCCAAACCAAGATCTCTGGCTTCTGAAGCTCTTGAGCTCTTGTAACCCAACTGCACAAGCCCCTAAATTGCCTTTTGTGCTCAATGAAGCTTGATTTGGGGTTCTGTCATTTAATCACAATCACATTTTAGATGAACTAAGGGTTCTAAGGTACAAATAGGAAATCAAACAGGAATGCCTATTAAGAACAAAGGATGGCACTAAGTTTGGGTGGAAGGTCAAATTGCTAGCCAGGCACTAAAGAAGCTACAAAAATAAAAGCCAGTAGTGGTTGCACATGACTTTAATCCCAGCACTCCAATGCACAGGCAGGTGGTTCTCTGGGTTCGAGGACAGCCTGGTCTACAGAGTAAGTTCCAGGACAGCCAGACTACACAGAGAAACTGTCTTGAAACACCCCTCCTCCCCACCAAAAAAGAAAGAAGAAAAAAATTAAAAAAGTTAGCTCCCTATAACAAAAAGAAAGAAAGAAAGAAAATTGGACCTTTAGAGTAATTCCTCAAGCATCTGAAGGATGAAAAGAAAGTCACAGAGTAGAGAGAAGAGCAATGAAGGACAAGCAGAAAAGCGGGGTCCAGGAGAGAGGTATGGGCCAGGGTGGAGCTCAGTTTGCCTAGCATGCACAATGCCCTGGGTTTGATCCCAGAACCACATAAAATAGGTAAAGTAGTATATGCATGCAATTACAGTATTTGGGAGGTGGGAGCAGGAGGATCATGAGTTCCTTGAATCCTTGGCTACATTTTGAGTTCAAGGCTATGAGACTGTGGAAGGGAGAGGAGGAGGAAGCAACAGCAACACGAAGAATGGGGCTAGCAAAGCCAATGCCATTTAATAAGACCCTCTCCAAAAAAGAAAAAACAAAGAGAATGGCAAGATGGCTCAGAAGGTAAAAGCAATTGGAACTAAGCCTGAGAACTTGAGTTCAATCCCCAGAACCCACATTGTAAGGGAAAACCAACTCTGGCAAACTGGCCTCTGACATGAATATACGCACAGTGGAATGCACTTAAACTCACTAGCTCTGGAATGTGCACATGAATAAATATGCAAATAATTTACAAAGATCAAGAAAGGATAAGGCTGGTGGTTTAGCTCAGTGGCAGAGCATTTGCCTAACCTGTGTTGAGACCTTGGGTTTAGAGCTAGAGAGATGGCATAGAGGTTAAGGGCACTGGCTGCTCTTCCAAAGGTTCATGAGTTTAATTCCCAGAAACAATATGGTGGCTCACAACCATCTATGAGACCTGGTGCCCTCTTCTGGTATGAAGGCATATATGCAGCCAGAACACTGTATCTATAATAAGTAAATAAAATTGAACCTGTGTTCTCCAGAAGAGCAGCCAGTGCTTTTAACTGCTGAGCCGTGTCTCTAGTTCCTTCCGCTTTATTTTTTAATATTTTTTTGGTGGGGGCAGGGTCTTTCTATATAGCCCTGGCTGTCCTAGAACTTACAATATAGACCACAACATAGACTTACCACATAGTCACAGGGATGCACTTGGATCGGTTTCCTAAGTGCTGAGATTAAGGTCCACTGGCCACCACAACAAGCCTCATTTTATTTTACTGAGAGTCTCTCACCAAACTTAGAGCTTATCAATTCAGCTAGATTGTCTGGTCAGTAGACTTCAGGGATCCACCTGTCTACTCTGTGTACCCAGCCTCCACCAGTACTGGGGTTACAGACATATGCCACCACACCTGGCTTTTTATATGGCTTATAGAGATTCAAACTCAGGTCCTCATGTTTGCATAGCAAGGATTTTACCCACTGAGCCATCCCCCCAGGTCCTCTGATATCTTTCACAATGACCCTAAGAAGTAGGTAAGTATTAACAGCATTGTACTTGAGGAATCCCATGTTAGGAAAATTTGGTCATGATTCCACAGCTGTCACATTGCAGTGCTAGAATTAACGTGGGTCTCCAGACTGCAAAGCTTTCTATACTTACTGACACTCTAGAAACTCTATAAAAAGAGCTCATCGAAGCCAGGTACATGCCAGTCATCTCAGCAGCTGGGAGGCTGTGCTAAGACTATTGTAAATTGGAGGCTGGGTTGGGTTATAAAAAAGGAAGAAAGAGCCAGGCGTTGGTGGCACACGCCTTTAATCCCAGCACTCCGGAGACTGAGGCAGGCAGAGCTCTGTGAGTTCAAGGCCAGCCTGGTTTACAGAGTGAGTTCCAGAACAGCCAGGGCTACACAGAGAAACCCTGTCTCGAAAACAACAAAAAAAGCTGGATGCAGTGGGCCATGCCTGTAATCCCAGAAGATGAGATATGGGGTGCTCTGGCAAAAGGGTTGTCTGCAATTTGAGGCCAGCCTAGGTTACACAGTGAGTTCCAGGACAGCTATGGCAATGAAGTAAGATCTCCTCCTTCACCCAACCCCCCTCCCAAGTACTTTCCAAGTAATAGACAAAACAGGGACATTTCTGCAAACGCTGAATAAGCAAGAGGGCTGGCTTTTGAGGGAAGGGATGTAGGACTTGTGACACACCTTTGTCATTAGGATTAGTGTGCTGCTCCATCTCAACAGCAACAGGTATGGTGCCTAGGAAAGAATCACAGGGTCACATGGTCAAACCACAGTGTTGTGTTTCCTAAGCTTGCCCTCAGGTCCACATTGGTTACAGCTGATCTAATTTTGGGAGGCAGAAGTATAATAGTGTATACTGTCTTAGTTAATACAGGTGCCTGGTTTTTTACTTAAAATTTTATTTTTAGTTATGTGTGTATGTGCATATGTGAGTAGATCCCCCTGGAGCTGGAGTTACAGGTGGCTGTGAGCAGCCAGACATCAGTGAGGGAACTGAACTGAGGTTTTCTGCAAGAGCAGCACGTGCTCTTAACCACTCCCGGGATGTATGTAGTCCAGGCCAACTGCAGTCATCAAAATCGCTCTCCTCCTGACTCAGCCTCAGGAGTTCATTACACGAGTATGCTACCACACCAGGCAAATACTTGTTCTTAACTTGATCATTTTTTTTACAGTTCCCTTCAGCAGAGTTATTTGTTATTACCTTTTCATTGAAGACAGACATACCAACTCCAAGTTTTAAATCTATCAAAAACATGTCATGAATCTTCGTGTCTTCTAAGTGTTTAACTTGTAGAGTCTTTGGGGTTTTTTGTTGTTTTTTTTTTTCGAGACAGGGTTTCTGTGTGTAGTTTTAGAGCACTGGCTCTGTAGAACAGAGTAGCCTCGAACTCACAGAGATCCACCTGCCTCTGCCTCCCAAGTGCTGGGATTAAAGGCGTGTACCACCAACCATGGTACCAACTGTACGTGGTAGTATACTAATTTAAAAACTCTAGCTCCCTCCCTTTGTCTAACGAGTCAGAGGACGGGTTGTCTTGAGTGGTGAAAAAAAAAGGCTCAAAACTACAAGAAACACTCCAGATAGTAGATTTGGGGATACTACGTCTTACTGCCTTAAGTGAAAAATACTTTTTCTAAGAAGTAAAAAATTTAGGACTGGAGAGATAGCTCAACAGCTGCAGCTGGTGCTGCACAGGACCGCGGGTTCAGTTCCCAGGACCCACAAGGCGGTTCACAACCATCCTAAACGCTAGTTTCAGGGGATCTTCTTACCTTCCTCGTGCACCAGACACGCATGTGGTGCACATACATACGTGTAGACAAAATTCTCATACACATAAAATTTAAAAAATGAGTACATCTAGAAGACGTGATTTTTCTTCTTTTTTCTTAGATTTTTCTTCTCTCTCTCTCTCTCTTTTTTTAAACAAGTCTAGAAGAGATAAACCACAACTCCCAGCGTGCTCGGGGACAAAAAAATGCCGTTGCTGCCCCGCCCTATAAGACAACAATTTCCACTGTCTCAATCCTGCCCCGCCTCAACCCTTCCGGCCACGGCCGCTATCCCCTAACCACTAATCCTCCCGGTAGCTAACGCTGGAATAAGAAGTGGGAAACTGTCATGCCTTTCTCGACCTTCACGGTCGGACGAAAACCGATGGACAAAACAGAATTTCACGACCTCATCTGCAGCACTAATCCAAAGCCTCAACCCCAGGACCCACCCTGTAGTTGGTACGCATGCGCCGCAGTGAGCCGGCCAACCGCCCGTGCCCCGACGCTTGCGCAGACATTCTGGCCGCACGCGGCCGGGAGCGGCCACGCTAGTGCGCAGGCGCTTGCGTCCCCCGGCCCATCATCGTGCCCTCTCCACCTAACTTGCCTTACCTTTCTTGCGTAGAGGGCGGGGCTAATACTCTCGATTGGTCTACGTTTGTGCCAATCAATGAAGTGGGTTTGGTGATTGGTGGCCCTTCAGAGGGTAGCAGGTTTCTGTGTCAGTCCTGAGGAGGCAGCGTTTTCTTAGCTGCTCTTCTCTCCAGAAGCTTCTGCCGGTTCCCCCAGCTCTGGGTACTCGGCTCTGCGTCGTGCCGCCATGATGGGCCACCGTCCAGTGCTCGTGCTCAGTGAGTCCAGGGAGGCGGTGGTTCCCTCCGCCCCTCTCTCCCCACGCTGCTCAGTGTTGCCCCGCTCCGTCCCGCCATGACTCGGCCCCCCTCGTACCTTCCAGTCGCCTTGGCGTCTTGGAAGCGCCTTCGCTGGTTTTCCTCCCCTGCCACCTCCCGGCTTCCTCCTTTGACAGAATGACTTCTCGCTCTCGGAGTCGCTCGTCTTTCCATGTGCTCCATCCCACTCGTGTTCCGTTCTTTGCCGCCACCCTCCACGCCCCCGTGTCCTTTACGGCATGATTTCCGGCGTGTAGTTAGTGACTAATGATTCCTAACGTTAGGCCTTGCTTCATATCGTGTGCCCGTCCCTTAGTAGCGGCGTGACTTAGGGCAGCTCGCTTAATTTACGCTTTAACGTCAGAGTTGGGAGACCGTAGTAGTTCTTTAAAGAATTGTGAGTTAAGTTGGTAAAGCTACCTTTACTGGTAGATCGCAAGTGGCATCTTGTCCAAGTTAGCGGATATTCAGCGACCCTTGTTCTGAAATGACACTCCTTGCCTCAACCAGTTAAGTTCCTCCAGATTCCTCTTCTGGCTTTCTTTCAGGAAATGCCATCCATCTCTTGAGTAAAGAGCACCAGTTCCTTGTCTCTTACTCAATAAGCCAGGTTCGATCAGTTAGACATAGTAAATAGAAACACAGAAAAAGATTATTATTCAGTATGGTCACAAAGGGGTTCGGGGACACCACCCCTCCCACCCACACACAGCAGGCCAGGACATATAAGGAGTCTGCCTTAGTCTCCTTCCAGACAAGATCTTGTCTGGCTCCCAGGCTTTAGTTTTTTCTTATTCTATCGTGAGATTCCTTGGGACTTCAATTTTCTTTGGATATATTGTGATTGGTAGGGTTTTTTTCTGTCTTTCTGTGTATTGGTGTTTAGCCTACATGCATTTATGTCCACATGTGTGTCTCATGCCTGTGGAAACCAGAAGAGGGCATCACATCCCCTGGAACTGAAGTTACAGGCGGTTGTGAGCCCCATGGCCAGTTTTCTTAAACACAGCCATCTTTCCAGCCTCACAACCAGACTCTCCTGGTCACTAATGTTTGAGGCTGTGGGTCCTCTCCCAGGGGGTTGTGAGGGATATACAATTGTCTCATTTTTCTACCTACTATTGAGAAAAATCACCATACTACTGAGGCCCATTCAGGGATCTTAGGACACAACTCCCTGCTGGAAATATGTGAGCCTACAAGGAAAGTATTGATCAAGGTCCTGAAATTGAAGCATTTCAGGTTATGTCTTAGCATACCAGGTGCTAAAATAGAGAAGTGAAGAGCTGGGGGTCCACATGAGCAGGGTTAGGGGGTTTTTGTTTCATTTGCCTAATAACTGGAGGTATGTTTTGTTTCATTAGAGACAAGTTCTGTCTGTGGAGACCAGGCTGGCCTCCAAAGTGCTGAAATTAAAGGCATGCCTCATCTCACCTGGCTTTGATTACCACATTTAATCCTGGCATATTTGTGGTATAAAAAGAATCAACTCCTAGGCGGTGGCGCACGCCTTTAATCCCAGCTCTCGGGAGGCAGAGGCAGGAGGATCTCTGTGAGTTCGAGACCAGCCTGGTCTATAAGAGCTAGTTCCAGGACAGCCTCCAAAGCCACAGAGAAACCCTGTCTTGAAAAACCAAAAAAAAGAGAGAATCAACTCCTGAAAGTTGCCCTCTGACCTCCACACTGTGCTGAGCATTTGTGTACCTGACATACACAGATTTTTTAAAAAGTAAACATTTTCTCTTTTAAGTTGGGGAATAAATTGCTTGTGTACACCAGGTTATTAACATGCATTTTTGGCTGTTCTAGGTCAGAATACAAAGCGTGAATCTGGAAGAAAAGTTCAATCTGGAAATATCAATGCTGCTAAGGTAGCACACATTTAAGTGTTTATAGAAGTTTGTTCTGGGGGTGGAGTGATGGTACAGTGGTTAAGAACCCTGGCCCTCGCCGGGCGGCAGTGATAACAATGGTGGCGGTGGTGCACGCCTTTAATCCAAGCACTTGGGAGGCAGAGGCAGGCGGATCTCTGTGAGTTCAAGACCAGCCTGGTCTACAAGAATTAGTTCCAGGACAGCCTCCAAAGACACAGAGGAAACCCTGTCTCGAAAAACCAAAAAAAAAAAAAAACTCTGGCCCTCTTCCAAAGGACCTGGGTTCAATTCCCAGCACCTACATGGCAGTTCACAGCTGTCTATAACTCCAGTTCCAGTGATCTGGCATCCTCACACAGACATACGTGTAGGCAAAACCCCATTGTACATAAAAAAATAAATAAATAACTTTCTTTAAAAAGTTTTTTTATGGCTGACTCCCTGATTCTGTATTTGTAGTAGTATGCTTCCTATGGACCTGTGCTTCAGAGTATACAATTAAACAAAGGAAAAACTGCTCTTCCAAGGCAATCTTTGATAGGGGTATGGGGAGGAGGTTTTGTTTTGTTTTTTTAAGATTTATTTATTTTACTTTGTGTTTTGCCTGCCTGCATTATGCAAGTGTACCCTGTGCATTCATGGTGTACACGAAGGATGAGGTTGTCTGATCCCCTGAAACTAGAGTTTCAGACTGTTAAGACCCATGTAGATGCTGGGACTTGGATTTTGGGTCTTCTAGAAGAGCAGCCAGTGCTCTTAACCACTGAGTCATCTCTTTAGGCCTGCCCCTGCCCCCCTTTGGAGACAGGATATTATCTGGCTGGCCTGGAACTCACTATGTAGACCAGGCTGTCCTTGAACTCCCAGAGATCTGCCTCTGTCTCCCAAGTAAACATCTTTTGAGTCAGCGAAAATATCAAGACTAGACTCATAGGACTTTAAACTGTAATAAGCCATGTCTGTCTGTCTGTCTGTGGACATTTATTGCTGTGCCTAAAATAGTTGCCATCCTTAAAACACTGACTCTGGCCGGGAAGTGGTGGCACACGCCTTTAATCCCAGCCTTTGGGAAGCAGAGGCAGGCAGATCTCTGAGTTTGAAGCCTGCCTGGTCTACAGAGTAAGTTCTAGGACAGCTAGGTCTGTTACACAGAGAAACCCTGTTTCCCGGTGAGGGTGGGGAGGAACCAAAAACAAAACACTGACTTTGGCTGGAGATTTGGCTCAGCAGTTAAGAGCATTTACTCTTTTCTTGGAGACAGGATTTCTCGGTAGCTTTGGAACCTGTCCTGGAACTCGCTCTGTAGACCAGGCTGACCTCGAACTCACAGAGATCCCACTGCCTCTGCCTCTCCATTGCTGGGATTAAAGGCCACCAATGCCTGGCGAGCATTTGCTCTTGTAGAAGACAGATTTGGTTCCCCAGACCCAGGTGGTAATTCACAAGCTCCCATAACTCTGGGGGGGATCCAATGTGTTCTAAAGGTCTTTATGGCCACCAAGCATGTATCTGGTGCACAAACGTGTGCAGGTTTGAAACACTGGCTCTGAACTGGCCATGGTGGAGCATGCCTTTAATTCATCACTTGAGAAGCAGAAGCATCTCTGAGTTCAAGGCCAGTCAAAGCTACTAGTGAGACTGTGTTTAAAACAGAATACTGGTTCTGACTATTGTTCTCTAAAACAGTTGTTCTCTGATTTGTATTTCTTGTGTTTCCTTACCAACAGACAATTGCAGACATCATCCGGACATGTTTGGGACCTAAGTCTATGATGAAGGTTGGACTATCTTTTATTGGAACTCAGAATCCAGGTCCTCCTGTATTGTTATCTAAAACACTTTTGCTTTTTCTTAGATGCTTTTGGACCCAATGGGAGGCATTGTGATGACCAATGATGGCAATGCCATTCTTCGAGAGGTGTGTGTTTTTGTTTTGGTTGTCTTGTTTTATCTCACCTTTTCTAACAGTTTCATAAATGCCAAAAGCCTGTTCAGACACATGTGGATAACTTTGGCATGGTGTTGGATACTTCTAATCCTAGCAGTCTATGGTCAGAGGTAGAAGTAGGGTCATGAGTTCAAGGTCAGCCTGAACTATAAAGGCTATAGAACTGTGTCTCTGAAATCCAAGAGCTATCAAGGCCTGATGGCACTGTACATGTAACCTCAGCATTTAGGGGTTAAAAATAGGAGGATTGGGAGTTTGAAATCAACCTTGGGAAATCAAGGCTTCTGAGTGCTAAGATTATAGATATGGGCCATTTATGCCTGGCTAGTCTGGTGTGGTTGCCTTAAAAACAGAAATTCCAGATATGATGTATGCTCAGGAACCTGAGGCAGAAGAATTGAGAATTTGAGTACAACCTGGGCTATGTATCAATTCTTTGTCTGGAAACTGCCTCAGCCACACTTCCTCTCCAAATCCTGCCCCTCTCGGACAACCAAAATTCCAGGCTCCTCCCCCAAAGGCCTAGACGGGGCTACAGGGAATTTTAGCTCCAGACCCTAGATCTGCCATGTATTTCTCCTCAAAGTACTTCTGGGGGGTACTTTGTTCATTAAACCTGGTCCTTTTTTTTTAATAATTTAAATTTATTTTATATGCATTGATGTGGAATGTGTCAGATCCCCTGGAAATGGAGTTACAGACAGTTATGAGCTGCCATGTGGGTGCTGAGAATTGAACCCAGGTCCTCTGGAAGAGCAACCAGTGCTCTTAACTTCTGAGCCATCTCACCAGCCCCTAAACCTGGTCTTTTTAATTTGGCTTGCTGCTTTGGCTGAGAACCCACTTCTGGGAATCCAAAAATATCTATCATCAATATCTTGTCTCACAAGCAAAAACTGGAAGCTAGGAGAAGGTAAGAGTACATCTCATACGGAAGGTCTTGGATTCAATTCCCAGCACCAAAAAAGAAGGGGGACTAGGGGAAATACCAGAAACTTCATTTTCCATGGACTGAGGCTGTAAGTCTGAAATCAAGATATCAGTGGGTTCTGGTTCTAAAGGCTAAGGAAGAATCCATTTATCTTTTTTTTTTTTTTTTTTTTTTTTTTTTTTCCCCTCTGGGTCTGCTTCCCAAGCGCTGGGATCAAAGGCGTGCGCCACCACCTCGGATTTTGTTGTTGTTTTTTATTTGTTTTTTGAGTCCCTTATCTCTTATGGCTTTTATTTTTGGTTGTGAGCCTAGCCTTTAACGGCTGAGCCATCTCTCCAGCCCTCATAGCTTTTAATAGTATGTCTCTTTCCTTTACTTTGTAAACCCAGGATCTCTGTTTAATCGTGTGCTGGTACAATTTTTGAGTGTCCTATATGTGTTAAAAACGATGGGACTTAAATATTTGAGTATGACATCATTTTAATTTGAATGCTTACACACAGACCTACTTCCAAATAAGCCAATTTACGGGTCTAAGTATTTAGGCTTTTGTGTCTTATCATCAGAGGATACAGTTCAGCCACTGTGGTTCTTGCAATACTAAGCTGAGGAAAACTATTCTGTCCTCAAGAAGTTTTAATGGCTGAGTTCTCAGTGACACTTTTCCCCACAAAAGGAGAACTTGGAAAAGTGATCTGCTTGAGATATTGGAGGGGGGCTCGAGTTGTGTGTTTGTGTGTCTGCCCACCTGCCCATGGACCAAAAGAGAATATAGAATCTTACAGAACAGTGTTTCTCAGCTGTGACCCTTTAATACAATTCCTCATGTTGTGGAATGTTTTCATTGCTACTTTATAACTGTAATTTTGCTACTGTTATGAATCATAATGTGAATATCTGATATGTGACCCCGGTGAAAGGGTCCATCAACCCCCAAAAGGGATGAGCCCTACACATTGAAAACTGCTGTTCTAAAGG